TCTTTGTGAATTGACCTGAGTTAAAAATTGTAAAATAACGTTGGTGTTATTGAATAGTAAACTCTCAGATGTCGAATATTTTCTTATAAATATCGGAACACGTCTTAGAGTTCTATACTGTTTTACCGTATAAATATGTTGACAAAACATCATAAATATATTTATTCGCCAATTGACCGTTTTAACATTATCTAATTAAACATGTATATAGATAGATTTATTTTTTATACAGACTACACAATTGTATATGTCCGCGCAGATACGAAAGTAAGGAATACGTATAGATGAAACCTACCATAGTAAAATAATTACTTCCGTTCCCTTAGGAATATTATATCCTTCAAGTGAAGTGTCTTTCAACGCACAATGAGGAAGTGTGAATGGTGCAATACTACCAAATCGCTGTATTCCCAAAAGCGTAGCTTCAGTATAAGACAAGTTTTTACGATCGTCAAGTCTCGGGAGACGGTTTGCGCCAACAGCCTGGAATCATGAGAAACCGAATAGTGGTCGGGATTACAAACAACGTTCAACATAAGGACACTCAATAGTTTGAAGCAGATGTGGCTATTTCACAATTATGCGATTCAAGATACACCCTGCTTAATTTGCAAATGCATTTTGTATTGTACGTACCTGATCAATTTCATTAAACACTCTGTCCTGTATTTCTGGATGAAGAACCATTAATAGTAACCCCCATTTAAGTGTTGTCGCTGTTTTTTCAGTTCCAGCAGCAAAAAGATCAGCTAATGTATATTTTAACTGGTCGTCTGTAAGATCTTTATTGCCGTCTTGTTTCATTGTCTCAGCTAAGTATGCATCGATGAAATCACCTATGTTGTCTGGGTCGAATACTTCACGGTGTTCATCAATTTGCTGCTTGCAGAATTTCCTCAGATCATCACCAAGTGTATTGTAGTTATTTATATTTGATTGATTAAACGGCCTTCGAAACGGTAGAAAACCAAGTTCATACATAGTGCCCATAAGCTCAAACCATTTGCCCATAGTGTCAATAATGAAACTGAATTTTGGGTCCGAATAGTTGAATCGTTTACCAAACATTATCGAGCAAATTACGTTGGAAACACTCCTGTTAAGTATGGCGCCTGTATCGATAGATTTATCTTGAATATCCTTAAAATATAACATAATATAATGGTTTCACATGTAATATCGAGAAATTTCAGAGACAATGTTCTAGCTAAGGATATATCCATAATGTTGCTGCCCATGTACAATGAGTTTGCTACATAAACTTTTCTCACAAATTAGATCAAGTCTTCCCTAATGCATGTAACAGGAATTCTGGTTGGTTGCACAGATGTATGGAACGAATGGGGCCTGTGTCGATCGAATTTTAATAGTGATCCTTACCCTAAATTCATCCAATAAAAAAGAGATTTCCTCACATATTTTACTTTCCATGCTGGTTTTACCAAATCCAAAGCCTCTAAGCGTTGTGTGGGCAAATTGTCGACGACGTTGCCATTTATCATTGAAGCGTCCATCAGCAATACCTGGCGATAGACTGGCAGTTATTACATGAAATGAAACTATAGAGAATAATTGGCGCTAGTCTACCTTTTTTTTAGAATTAGTGGTCCCAATCGTTGGCTGTTTTAATTAGTTTTAAATTATTATAGTACCTTTATATCTTGGATTATATTGTTCAACTGACCAAGAATGTGGTCTATCAGCAAAATCGGTTCCTTTTTTTACCAGACATTCTTTGATGGCATTCACTCCCTTTACAACAACGGCTGTATGACATCCCATCTTCAGACTATACACATCACCATATTTCTTTGAGAGTTTCGTCATGTCTTTGTGTACATCAGATCCGAAGTACATAAAGCTGCCAATGATAGGTAATCCCCAAGGTCCGGGTGGGAAGTTCTTGCAAGGTGCCAGGTAGTGTTGGGTGGTTATCCATGCTAAGAGCATTGTCATCAACAACACCAGTAGTGATAACGGATCAGTTGGCACAAAAATCATTTTGGTACAACTTGATGCGGAATAGTCTGTAAATATATACTCAATATAGATTAAACGATGATGATAAACGGCGGTGAATCTAATTGCACCATCATTGTCCAGTAGTGATAACGGATCAGTTGGCACTGAGACCATAACGTTAGACCTGCGTGCAAAACAGTCTGTAAACATATATTCAAATACGTAACGGAGATTAATCGATGATGACAGCTAATTTAATGGCACCATCATTGTTCAGTTATGTGGCACAAGTTTAGAACTAATACTTCAACGATGGTTATGACCATTCAAAAATATATGTGTATAGTAGGAATGATATACGACCTGTCAAATAGCTCCACGGGGTGGATTTTGGTTTCGGGCCAGGTGCTATCACAACATCAGGGAGAAAGTCATATAAATTTGGCCGCACTTCGTTGACTGGGACAGCAATAATGTCCACTTTGCGCTATAATAAAACTTGATGCACTGTACAAAGAATTTAGTTTTGACTCTGGTGTGCCAGAAATTGATCACAAATACTACCAATAAAATAAGTTGAGTAAATCGTGTCAAATGTAGCAGAATACGCTTTTCCTAACAGGTTGGAAACCAAATGGGAAGTAAACCTACGGAACTACGGCAGTAGATATATGGAATACCTAAATTATCAATCTGATTTATACAACGAATCATTGTTAATAGTATTATAAAATATTAGGCAAATACATTTAGCCATGCTGTAAGGCAACTGAAAAAATAAAATGGAACGATTCAGTGCTGAACATGTGCTAATTTATATACATACAAATATGTAATGTCCGCTTTGTAATTTGCCCATGAATAATTCAATGCATACTACGACTATTCTCGCTTGTGTGATTTACAGACTCTGACTCAAATAATGACGTTATTTCCGACAAGCATCACTTTTTTGTCGTGTTCCATTAATGAACGGTCAGATAAAGCAATGGGTCATGTGAGCAAAGGTGGTATAAAAATAGTATAAAACCAACCCGCCATTGGTATATATACATACAGTTAACACAATTCAACATTTATGTACAGATTTCATTAATACATTCAGTATTATTATTATTATTATTATTATTATTATAAACTCAGGAATAAACTCAATGAATTCAATGGAAACTCGTCTCTCAATGGGTAAAACAGGGAATATGTAGAAAATACTAAAAAACAACCTACCCTTTAATGCTTTAATGATGGCTGAAATCACTCACTGCAGTCCACACAATGTTTAGTTTTGTCGCTGTGTGTTTGTTGGCGCTCTATTGCATGACGCCCTCATACCAACAAGCTATCATGATGCAGATAAATAACAAAAATTGTTAACACGTGTTATACATGTCGCATGCGACCCGCATCCTACTTGATGTAGCGTGACGACC